ACCTTCTTTCATCTTTTAAACCTTGGAAATTGAAATTAAATTATTGGATAGTTCCGCTTGGAGCACAATTAGTCAATCTCATTACAGGCCTAGTAGGCCCAATATATAAATGTTATAATATCAAAAAGCTCAATTAGTGGAGCCCATATTTTAGGCCCGTAAATAATCAAAACCGAACCTATTGGATAAACCAGCAGGTCTAACGATGGCTAGCCAGCTCAGCCGGTGACATTGCCTTCGCCGTCTAGACACTTTTCATTAACCGTCGACGACTCAACCAAGAAAAACTGAAAAAGGAAACAAAAATGAACCACACAAGTCGTAAGAGAAGACGACCTGATTCTTCTCTCTCAAGAACCGATTCTTCTCTCTCACCTGAAAATGTTATCTCCGACCAAATCTCCGGCGCTGAATCGAATTCCCGTCAGGAACCTCTTCTTCCTTCTGCTTTTCCTTTGCTTCGTTATCTGTCTCCTCTTCTCCTTCAGCTCACAGTTCCCTTCTCTCGCTTACTCCTTTGGCTTATCTTCCACTCGTCGCCGTCATTTGCTCTTCTCTATAGCTTCGTCTCACGATTCCTGGCTCCGTCGTAGCTCATACGTTCGTCTATGGTACTCTCCTGAGTCTACTCGAGCTTTCGTTTTCCTCGATCGAGGTGGATTCGAGTTCGATTCGAGTCTCCCTCCTTTGATCGTCTCTGAAGATGTCTCTCGCTTTCCTTACGATTTCCCTGGTGGTCTTCGGTCGGCGATTCGAGTGGCTCGCGTTGCTAAGGAGGTGGTGGATCGTGGTGATAAGGATGTACGGTGGTTTATCTTCGGAGATGATGATACTGTGTTCTTCGTGGAGAATTTGGTGACTGTTTTGTCGAAGTATGATTATCGTAAGTGGTATTACATTGGAAGCAATTCGGAGAGTTTTGATCAGAATGTGAGGTATTCGTTTGATATGGCTTTTGGTGGTGGAGGATTCGCCATTAGTGGTTCGCTTGCTAGAGCTCTAAGTAAGGTTATGGATTCTTGTTTGATGAGATATTCTCATATGTATGGAGGTGATTCCAGGATCTTCTCTTGCTTAGCTGAGCTTGGTGTTACATTAACTCATGAACCAGGATTTCATCAGGTGAAAACAGTTTAGATTCTTCTAGACTACTTGCAGGATTAGCTTGATCTGAGACAGTGTAGAATTTGTTGTTTGATAGGACTCTTGATTCTGAATTAGCTTGAGTCGAGAAATTGTACTGCTGGATCATCTGTTTCTGCTGCAATGTACTTAGAGAGATAATCTCAAAGATTACAATATGTGTACTCGTTTTATAAATCGATGTAACACGGTCTTCTCTGTGTGTTTTCATTAGATTGATGTACGAGGGAATCTATTTGGATTGCTATGTGCGCATCCACTATCTCCATTGTTGTCACTGCATCACTTGGACGCAGTTGATCCATTCTTTCCAAAGATGAACCGAACGGAAGCCATGGCTCATCTTATCCGTGCTTCTAATGTAGATTCCGCAAGGATTTTGCAGCAAAGCGTGTGCTATGATTCATTAAACTCAGTGACGGTTTCTGTGGTGTGGGGTTATGCAATTCAAGTTTACCAAGGCAATAAACTCCTCTCGGATCTTCTCTCCCTGCAAAAAACCTTTTCTACGTGGAGGAGAGGGTCAGGCGTCCAAAGTAACTATATGTTTAATACGAGGGAGTATCTGAGGGATCATTGTGGTAGACCGCTGGTATTTTTCTTAGACAGCGTTGGATCTGATGGAAGCAGAGGAACATGGAGTAACTATACCCGACATAGCGTGGAGGATTGTCACAGAGCTGAATCTGTTAAGCATCTAAAACAAGTCCGAGTACTGTCCCATAAACTCGAGATTGATGTTGAACAGGTAAAATATAGTTACCTCCTTAATTGTCATGTAAGTTCGAAGATACTGTTGTAGTTACACTCTTTACTCTTACATTCTCAGATGAAGGCTCCACATCGCCAATGCTGTGACATCTCTCCATTGTATAAGGAATCTATGGTCGTTAGCATAAGGCAGTGTATGGAAGATGAGCTAATTGCAATGAAAAGTTAAGCCTTTTGTTTTCAACAGGGTGTTGGTAAACCAAAAAGTGTAGCTAAAAGCCCAAGAGGGAAAATCCCATGGTTCTTGTTTAAAAACAAATGGTGCACTCACGCTTTTGTCACGAGCTTCTAGTGGGATCCGACGACCTGAGAAATCACTACTAAGGTAGTTTCTCTTGTCGTTTTGAAAGAATTATTAAATATCAAAAACCCCACAGGTCTTAAGATCTTCCTATCCACTGATGGTGGTATTTTCAGGCTTTGATCATACAATCTGACTTCCTAGTTTTGGTTATGAATATGATACAGCCTTCTTCTTCTTCAGCCAACACAATTCATAATCTTGTGGAAGTATCCGGGGTCACTCGACAATATTTTGTTCTCAGTCAGTTTGGTCGTCTTTGTATAATATGCAAGAATGTTTAACTGGTATGGCTTCTCTTCTCTTCTCTTGTAATTAAGTTTTCCTCGCTATATTGTTTCAGTTATGCATCTCAGTATCTCCGGATCTTGCTTTAAAAGTAAAGAACAATATTGTTTTTTTTCTTATATATATGTTTTTAACTAGAAATACACAAAACCTATAACATTGGTAGTAAATGACAAGTTTTTTTATTATGTAAAATTCTAATTGTAGATGAAACTATAAAAGTTGGAATCTTATCATATCTGAGGAAAAAAAGAGAGAATCTTGTAATTACAGAAACTTGGAAATTTGATTATATTTTAGCAAAAAAAAAAAGAAATTAACATTTCCTTGATTTCAGGTTTGGCATAGTACAAATCGTGTGATTGTTATTAAAAAGTTTGAACTCAGTCACACCTTTGAACTTTTGTCGCCGCAAATACCAAGTCTCAGCTCCCATCTCCTCTTTCTTGTCCGTATAAGATAACCAAAAACTATAAATAAGTAAAGTAATCTCCATTCAATAACCGAGTCTTCTACAAATCTAGAAAGAAACACATCCCTTTTTATAAAAACAAATAAAAATCTAGAACAATGTACTACTGTTCATCATCTGTATCAAAACGCCTTGTTCTGGTCCCAATCTTGGCCGTGGTGGCCATACAACTTCTCCTTATACAACGTCTCGTGCTTGAACATGACCAATGCGTATTTGCACCATAAATGCTACGTCACTCAAGGAAAGTACAAGCCGGGAAGCCAGGACGAGAAAGACCTCAATAAGATAATCCGTTCCATCCCTATGTACAGTAATTTTAGCATTGGTTTCGAATACATGGCCTTTGGTAAAGATCCTGATTTCGTCTCTGTCATCCATCAGTGCCGCGGTGACTCCTATGGCCCCAAATGCCGCTCTTGCTATGCCACCGCCGTCTCTGGGGTAACTTCACTTCAACGTTATTGTTTAGATGTCAATTTTTGTTACATTATAGCGATAGATAAATTCTATGAGCAAAATGTTATTGATTATAATTGTTATTGATTGTGACGTCGACATGGACAAAAATGTATGTGACAGCTTCAAAGGAGATGTCCGAGAAACAAAGGGGGAATAATATGGTACGACCACTGTTTCCTCAAATTTAATGCGGTCGAATCATTAGAGAAGATCGATTACGATAACAATTTTTGTATGTCCAATGCGAAGAACGTGAGCAGCACTAAGCAGTCTTTCGAGAGGAAGTGGGTGCGTCTCCTCGGCGATCTAGCAACTAAAGCCTAAAAAAATAACAAGGGTTACGCTGTATGGGAGGAAAGGCTTGGGACGAAGAAACTGTATGGAATGGTGCAGTGTACGGGAGATATAGCGCTTAAAGCTTGTGAGGAGTGTTATGTATACAGTTTCCTGCATTTTCAAGATTGCATACGCGATAAACAAGGAGCCAGAGTTTTGGGTAGGAGTTGCAATTTTAGGTTTGAGCTTTACCGTTTTGTTGACACCAAGACCGGTCATAAATGAAAAAATATGTGTCTTGTAGATTTCTTTCTTTGTTATTTTTGATTTGATTTTATATTAATATATATGAAATTATTAATTTACTATACAAACAAATCATAATATATAGTTTAAAGAAATTTCTATTAAGTTTTTGGGATAATTAC